ATTAAAATCAACTACAACAGAGGGGAAAAAAAGGAAAAAACTCCAAAAGAATCTACAGAACAAGCCAAAACATAAGAATAATGAATGTTTTTTCTTGAGTCACTGCTGTCAGAGTCCTTTTCCTCACTGGGAGTCAGTCCACCTCACCTCCCTAGGATGCCCTTCAGCATTGTGCTGATCTCTGGACCTGCTGTGGGGGCAGCTCAGATTCTAATCTGGTCCTACTCCTCTGTGTTTTTCCTCCAATGTCCACAGCTATCAGGTCTTGTACATTTTCTTTTGTAGGAGCTCTCAATGACCTTTTATATATTCCATAGACACAGAGTCTGCCCAGTTGATCATTTGGATTTAATCTGCAGCTTATACAGCTGGTGGGAAGGTTTTGGGTCTTCTTCTTTAGTCACTGTCCCTGGATTTCAATTGTGGTTTTATTTTCACCTCTGCATGTGGGTTGTCCACTGGGGTTTGCTCCTGAGGCTGCCCTAGAGGACTTGGGTTTGCCCCTGTGAGGGCCAGGTGTGGAGGTGGTGCAGCTGCTTGGATTGCATGGGTTCTGGCAGCAGCAGGTACTTAGGGGAGTTGGCAGGTAGGGCAGCGGGAAATATAGCACTCCAGAAAGGTATGGCAACCAGTATTGGCCAATACATGCCAGTATTCTTGCCTGGAGAATCCCTCTCCCTGACAGAGAAGCCTGGCAGGCCACAGTCTGTAGCGTCTCAGACAGACACTACCAAAGCGACCCTAGGTGCATAGATGCAAGACTTTTGCCTGTGGCAGCTCTGCCCCAGTGAGAGTTGAACATGAAGTTGGCACAGCTGCTTGGCTTGAGGGGACCCTGGCTGTGCCAAGTGTGCAGAGACACAGACTGCCTCCACTGCAGGAGTTATGACCCTATCAGAGTCTTTTTTTGAGCCTCTTGGAGCTGGCAATCAGAAGGCCTCTTGGGCCAGTCTCTCTGTAGCTCTGCCCATTCAAGCACTTAGAGAGCTCCCTTGCCTAGGGTCCTTCTCTGTTATTTGGCATGTCAGGCACATGGAGGGGCCCACCTGGCTGGGGTCCTACTCTGTAGTTTGGCATGTCAGGCACTTAAAGGGGCACCCTGGGTGAGGTCCTACTCTGTAGTTCAGTGCATCCAGCATTTGATGGGCCAGGCTTTCTATTGTTCAACTGCCAATGCTGGCATGTTGGGGGAGAGAGGCTATGGTGATGGTTCCACCCGCTGTGCGTGACTCAGCAGTATCGCCTTGCTTCCATGGCTGCCTGGCTTTTCCTCCACAGGCATTTCCCACCACAGTCTCCTCCCTCACATCCCCTCAATCCGTCTCTCTGGAGTCAAGAGCAGCCCTCACCCTGGGATTGCTCCACAATCCCTAAACTCCAGCTCCCAGCTGCTACACCTTCCAGGGTATCTATGTCCCTGTCGAGAGTATGTATGGCTGTGGCAAGGACTGTCTGATTCTCATTCCATTTAGGCTGCCACAGATCAGCTGTTTCACTCTCAGCCTTAAATGTTTCTCCTCTGATTCAGACAATTACCCTGATGTAGGGATTAGACCCCTGCTTCAGTTCCCCCATCCGCCAAGGGCAGGTCCATTCCTACTAACACTTCTGTTTTTCCCCCTACTTTCTTTGTCCTGCCGAGTTTTGCGTGGGTCTGTATGTTCTCTTCCGCTGGTCAGGTACTCCTGTTGGCTCTCAGCAGTGTTCTTCATGCACTTCTGTGTCTGAAGGTGTGTTCCTGATGTATCCAAGGAGAGAGATGTACTCCATGTCCACCTACTCCTCTGCCATCTTGTTCTCCAGTTGAGCATATTTTGATGTCAGTCTCTAATTTCCTTTTTCCTGCTCCATTGATCTATGTGTTTATCCCTTAACCAATACTATTCTGCCTTCATTACTGTATTAGTTTGCTAGGGCTGCCTAACAAAGTGTGACAGACCAGGTGGCTTAAAATAGAAATTTATCTTCTCACAGTTCTGGAGGCTTAGATCAGGGTGTTGGCAGGACTGGTTTCTTCTGAGGGCCTCTCTTCTTGGCTTGTAGATGGCCATCCTCTCCCTAAATCTTCACCTGATCTTCCCTCTGTGTTTGTCTGTATCCTAATCTTTTCTTATAAGGATACCATTCATATTGAATTAGGGTCCAACCATAAAACCTATCTCACCTTAATTTGAGAAGTACTGTACTGGTGGCAACATTACTGTTTTACTAGATTGCTTATGAATGTTAGTGGCTATTATTTCTACTGCAAGCTTTAAAAATAAACACAAAATATCTCAAGTGATTAGAAAAATTTTATTCATTAGCCCAAACAGGATTATATATTACAAATTCTGATCAAAATAATATTAAAGGTATTTTCAGTAGTACCACAAACTATCTGGACCTGAAGATAAAGTGAAATAGTAAACTAAATGGAAACCCACTCCAGTAATCTTGCCTGGAAAATCCCATGGACCGAGGAGACTGGCAGGCTACAGTCCATGGGGTTGCAAAGTATTGAGCACAACTTAGTGACTAAACAAAGTATACACTGAAATTTACTCACATTTAAAATATCACTTTGTTTAGAAGAATCAAATTTTCTGGTTATGATGTAGGACACACAAATAGCTACTTATGATTTTTATTTAACAAACACATGAACCATTCCCCATGCTCCAAATGAGTCATCACAAGTCTATAAAATCTTGTAATTCTTTTTAATGGTACTTGAGACAGTTTATATTGTTTTATAGAACAAAATACAGTACTTCTAATTCTCCTCATACTGCCTTTCAAGAACTCCATGATGAGAGCTGTGCATAGAAACACAGAAGCTTGGGTGGTTCATGGGTTCCAACATAATTTCTGCATTGGGCTGGGCTGGGGGATGGCAAGGAAGGCATTCTAAGATATAAGTTCTGAGAATAAAGAAACAGAGATTTCCCTCAAGAAAATTTATACTTGCCTCCTTTATAAACACAGGTCCCATACAAAAAGTATTACCACTGAATTGGTCTGTCTGACTTATAAGCTATAATTAAGATTTCAGTCTGATGTGGAGCAGCTTAAAATAGCATCACAGACCCTGTTGACTCTTGCCTAGTTGAAACAGAAACATAAATTTGAGGGAAGAAGGCGGAAATGATTATTTTCAATTCCTCTTTAATCATACTGATATAATATTTATGGGCACAAAAAATTAAGTAAAGTATGTATCCCAAATTCTCTCCCTCTCCAAATCGCTTATACCTGATTTTGGCTGGGCAGAGATTTACTAACAAGGAGGTGAGGGTTTACTTCCAGGAAAAGCTATAATATTGAGACAGAAGTTCAGGGCCGAGCAAGCACCAAACATAGGGAAGTACAGAGAGTGACCTGCTTGGGACCTAGAACTACGTAGTATATGGAATAGCATAAGGAGACTCTAGAAGAAAAGCTTGACCAATAAAATGAAAATACCTGTTCAATTTAGAGAAGGAAGCACCATGGTAATATCTCTGAATTCATAAACCATACAATTCAATGCCTTGTTATAATGAAACATTCTTTTTTTTCCCAAGCAAATTTAGTCATGCAATCTTCTGAGTAGGCACTGTGTCCTACCCCAGTTTCTCCCATCCCATTTGAAGAATAATTAGAAAAGGATTTGGAAGTAAGAAACAGAACATTTCTTGAGTATTTACCTAATTCTAGGTCGATACTAGGTACACTTCATTTAATCCTAACTCAAAAAAATCAGAAATATCCATCATTTTACCAATTCACTCATATGGAAACTGAAGCTATGAGGTTCCCTACCGTAAATCCCACATAATGAAGCTGGGACTCAAACTCCCACCTAATTTAAAAGTTTGTGCCCTTTTATGCTAACATGCCACTTTCCCTAAGTGACATGTTAGAGGTGACCTTGCCTGGGTCTTAGTGACAGAGGAAGAGGAGGAAGAAAGAGAAATAGCTGCTGGGACATTTCTTCAGAGAAATCCTCTTGATTCATCAAAAACTAGAATTTTTCCCAGGCTTTAAAGCTGTTACAAATTATGACTGTGTGTTAGAAGGTGGGAATGTGGCACTTTCTCTGACCAGGTTTTGAGGGAGAAATGTCTCCTGAGGATTTATAACATGGAGAACAAAAGAACTGTTCAATTTCCAGAAGACGGAACTAGGGACTCAGAGACATTGGCAGCCTCAGCCTTGTGACAGTGGGTGAGGGTTTAATGGAGAGTGGGAATTCACTCAGGTGTGTTTGCTAGACACAGCTCTGGTCCCCAATCCATAAACCCCTGCTTTCCTGTGTAACACCTTGCTGTCCTATGTGCCATTTGAAGCTTTATAGCCTATAAGGCTAGAACCCATGGTTTAGGGTCACAAAGAAGAAAGAAATGAGCACAGGCTATTCTCAATTACTTGCATCCATAAGAGGGTATCAATAAAGAGGAAGAGAAAGGAGTCTGCAGAAATTGGCACTTCGTGGACTGGTGTTAATGGTTTCCTGGAAAAGTGGAAGATGCAAGTAGAAATGGGATACATCTTGAGCCTAAGGGAATCAGGTGCTCCTGGATATTAAGAATATCATGACCAAAGGCTAATGCCTCCAAACATGAACTATTTCACTGTTTGGAGATAAGGCATGTTTTAGATATAGGTATGAAGACAGTGTAAGCATTTTGGACAAGAAAGAAACACTTCCCTTTATCACCTCAGGCTCTTAATCTGAGCAGAAAGATATTAAGTGGGGAATGGCAAAAACATCCTGTAAACTTCTCAGTCAAGCATGTTAAGCAGGGCTAAAGATTCTGTGCTGTGGGACTTCCCTGGTGGTTCAGTGGTTACGACTTGGTGCTTCCTATGCAGGGGTTACAGATTTGATCCCTGGTTGGGGAACAAAGGTCCCACATGCTGAGTGTAAGCATTAGTCGCTCAGTCATGTCTGACTCCTTGCGATCCCATGGACTGTAGCTCGCCAGGCTCCATTGTCCATGGAATTCCCCAGGCAAAATAGTGGAGTGGGTAGCCATTCCCTTCTCCAGCAGATCTTCCTGACACAACCAAAAAAATTTTTTTAATTAAAAAAAAAAAAAAAGACGCTGTGCTGTGATCAGTGAAACAGGCATATACCGGGAGTCACAGCACTCTTGAGTTAAGAGACCCAACTGTTTCTTGCTCAGATCACTCCTTTCTATGTTTATTTATTCAGCTATAAAATAAAAGGGTTAAAACAAATGTTGCAGTGAGGCTCCCTCTGCCTCTTAAAATTCAAGTGCTGGCTGATTTTCACGAGTGTTAACGTGTTTGAGGGAATGGTGGCACGCATTCTGCCATCTAGTGGTCATATTTCAGGGTTTGTCCCACTGCTCAGCTTCTCAGGATGGCTCCATCTGGAGAACTGAGATTTTATTCCTGGATCCTGACGTCAGCAGTTGCAGTAGAGGAGAGAAGGACATGAGCTCCCCGCTTAGAGAAGGAACGAGTGGCCACCTGGTTGTCAAGTGAGAGACTGTCAATCTTGACTCTCAGGACCTCTCTGGGGACATCCATGGATGTATAACTTCTACCAAGTTAACACAAGAGGTTTTCTCCTGGTAAGCCAGGCAAACTGTACACGGAAATGGTCAGATTAGGAAAATTACTGTTGGAATACGCAGGTGAGGAAAGAAAAGTGATCTGAGGAGGTGCTGATTAGTGGATCCAAGGTTTCTGGTCACTTAGCAGAGTGCAATGGTTAAGAAGCACGGAATGAAGTATAACAATCTGTATCAGAGCAACCCTGGCCTTCAGAGTTTAGGGAAGGCCTTGCATTCTGCCAACTTAGGGTAGGATCCAAGATCTAAAGCCTGTGAAACCAGAAGGCAGTAAAAAAAAAAGGTATTTGAGCAGCCAGTTGTGTACAGGGGAATAGATATGGAACCTCTATCAATGTGGACAAGATAGTTTCGATTCTGAACCCTTCAGGGACAGATAAAAAGAAATAACCTATACAGAGAGTGGGTAAGACCTTCCTACCCTAGTGAACAGCGGGAAACCCAACCTGAAATGGGTAGAAATGTGTTGTGTATGCACTTCTAGAAGTTAAGTTTGTGCTTCTCACTAACGTTTCTCACTAAACAAGGTGGATTTTGCCCAGGAACACTAATAACACCTGTTAAAATTTTTCGATCATGAAAAAGAGAAGTTAAGGTTCAGCTATTTAGAATTTGGGTATAATTTCTATGGGCTGATTCTCTAGCAAAGAGAAAGCTGATTACAATCACCTGTCATCTGGGGACAAGTTTACTGGTAACCCTAAAAACTTAATTATGTTATTTATGAGTAGACCCAATGACAATGCACTGAAAGTTCATCCTAAGAGAGGAAGAACACTGGTTATTATGTATCAAAAAAAGTTTTTGTTATTTTTTAATTTGGAGTGGTGTGGTCATAGGTTGTGGCTTTCCTCAACTTTGCTTTAGGAAAACTTTCAGCCCATTCTGTCTTCTGGTTTCCATCTATGATATGACTATTATTCTTTAGTTTTAGAGGAAAATCTGCCAGTTTGGTCCAGAAAGTAGCCCTAAGCAGCCTAGATAAAATATAAGATGGCTTCCTATCCTGGACAAAGAAAAAACAGCATGCTTCCGGTGCCTGATATCCCTTTACCTGCCACCGAGAATATGCAATCAAAGTGACTCATGAAGAGATGGGGAGACACAGCCATCTCAGGCCACTCAGAGATGTATCTTCAAGGGAGAAGAAACCAAGGGTTTCAGAGTGGGCGGTACATGATAAAGCAGGGATGTCTCAGTTCTTGCCCTCGCCCGCAATGTTCAATAGATAGGACAACTGGGAATGGATACAAACTTTACAAACTCGATGATCTCAGGTGGGCAAGCTGCCAGGTTTGCCACTTATGTGCATTTTGGAGTCCTAATGTAGTGTTGGAAGAGGAGGGGAACAGGCAGGCTTACATATCATGGAAATTGGTTCATAGGCCATAAGTGAAAGATATGGAACTGTAATTGATGAATAAATACAGTGAGGAGTACATTTAGAAAAAGTAGAGGTATTTCTATTAATATTTTAGGGTTAACATTTAAATTGGGATTTATAAGGATTATAAATTCAGAAAATATTAAGTGACCATGAATCACTCATATTTTACCTACTGATTGAGAATGAAATAAGGAAAATAAGTTTTATGAAATCATAGCCCTTTAGAAATCATGTCTGGTAGCATAGTCTCACTTGAATGATTTGTCAAACAAGTACCATCAGGTCAATGAAAATATTCTCACAATGGCCATAAATTGAAGCATCACACACACATAAGCTTTCTTTTCACTTCAAATATGAAAATAGAAGGTGTATGGAAATTTACATATCTTTGACAAGACTAGAAATAAACTGTCATTTTCTTATATGATGCCCTGTGCTCTAAATCAATTCCACACCAGGTTGCTTGTAAAAGGTACTGCCTCACATCTTTTCTTGACATCACCTGAAATCTGACCACTTGATTATTAACTCAGCCTCCACAACCCTAAAAGTAGCCCTAATATACAGGCTTAAAGGAGTTATTCCTTTTTACTGGTGTATACCCTTCCTTAGTTGCACCTGGTAAGCCCACCTTCCAATACAAACATTGAACTTTCTGAAAGCACTTATAGAACATATCATATTCTATAAAAGGAACATTCTTCAAAGAGTGAGGGGGTTTCCCTCAAAGGAACTGGGTTGCTTACCAAAGGGAGGGGAGAAAGAGGCAGACATCTGTCTCACTCATTTCTGCCTCTCCACTGTAACCTAGCATTGCACTTGGCACATGGAGACTCTAATAAATATCAGATGAGAGAATTATAGCAGATGGCTCAGGAGTTAGGACTCTCTGTATCTTCAAACTTCTCATATTTCTTTGGTTCCTACTTATGTTTGACATGTATCTTTTTTTAAACAGTCATCTCCCTTTTGTGCAGGGGGGGAATTCTATTAATACCATTTTGACCTACTATCTCAGTACAATTGGATAACTTCATCCCACTCAGAAATAGGCCAGACTCCATTGGGCCACACGTTGGGGGGAGAACGCTTCCAGTCCCATGTCTTTATAGGAATCTTCCAGGTCTTACCATAGTTGGCTTCAATGTATTCAACAGTTTCACAGGGCACACGAAACTTTGTGTCTACAAACTCAGTCCAGCACAGTGTAAACTTGGGAAACAGGTATCTGTGGCAAAACAGGCAATGTGGAGAGGAGTTAGGCTCCAACACTGGAAGTTTAGCTAAGGAACCCACAGCTAGTGTACCCTGGGCCAAAGGACAGTCCTCTTCCACTAAACAGCTTTGGGGAACAGATACAGGGGACATTTTGTTGTTAACTGTCCAGCATCTCCTTTCTTTTCTAATGTTAACTGTATCACAATTTCACTCCCCTAGTCCCAGTCCAGAGAAGGCAATGGCAACTCACTCCAGTACGCTTGCCTGGAAAATTCCATGGACAGAGGAGCCTGGTAGGCTGCAGTCCATGGGGTCGATAAGGGTCTGACACGACTAAGCGACTTCACTTTCGCTTTTCACTGTCATGCATTGGAGAAGGAAATGGCAACCCACTCCACTGTTCTTGCCTGGAGAATCCCAGGGGTGGAGGAGCCTGGTGGGCTGCCGTCTGTGGGGTCGCACAGAATCGGACACGACTGAGGTGACTTAGCAGCGGCAGCAGCAGTCCCAGTCCATATGGTCCAAAAGTGGCTGACTCCACTCCTAGGCTCCAGAGATGGGTAAAAAAGACTCAGACCTAGCCAGTAAATTATAGTCACTAGGTTAGGGAAGGGAATTTATACAAATTAGGCAAATGGAAGTCAGTCTTGGAATTTCTGTTGGAACTACCGGGGGAAGAAGTGTTCTTGTGCAGAGGTTTCTAAGCTGTGCGATGGAAACTGAGAACTGCTGGTGGCCATCTTCGCTGTCAGCAGGGAGCGCCTGTCTGAGACTGCTGCCGCCGCCGCTGCTAAGTCACTTCAGTCGTGGCTGACTCTGTGCGACCCCAGAGACGGCACCCACCAGGTTCCCACGTCCCTGGGATTCTCCAGGCAAAAACACTGGAGTGGGTCATTTTCTTCTCCAATGCATCAAAGTGAAAAGCGAAGTCGCTCAGTCATGTCCAACCCTTAGCAATCCCATGGACTGCAGCCCACCAGGCGCCTCTGTCCATGGGATTTTTCAGGCAAGAGAATTGGAGTGGGGTCTGAGACTGCAGTTAAAGCAAAAAGTTGCCAAAAGATGGAGGCAAATGATAAGAGTCTAGAAAACCCTGGGGAAGTGTTTGGGTTTGGCCGTGACAATTCCTTAAATACATAAATATATAAATGTTATTTTTTTAATACATTTCTAGTATTTGAAATTTGTATACATTGAGGGAGGCATGTATAGCAAGTCAAAGAGGAAACAAAAGCTTCCTAGTTAGCCAGAGAACCTAACTCAATCCTGGCAATATATGACATTTTCCAACAATAGCATCACAAATACTTGTGTCTTTGTGACAGGTCAAGTTAAATTTCTCTGTCCTGGGTTTCACTGTGGTCCTAAATGGCTTTTGATAACACTAGATAGCTAAAGAAGAAGTTCCCAGGTTCAGTCAGAGTATTTCTTAAATTCTTTTTCTAACTTATACAGTAGTGAGAATTTCATACTACAGTATGTGAACATGGTAAGACCCAATATATATTGACTTTTTAAGCAAAAAGCTTCACCCCACTGACCCTCCTCAGATGCAGGAATAGAGATCCTATGCTTGGATGTTCTGTATCTCAACAATAATTCTCTGAAAAAAAAAAAAAGTTATACAAACCACCTTCTTCCTGCTCTGCCTTTTATCACCTGCCCTTTTTAATTTCTATTCTTAGTCTCAAACTTTTTTCTTTCTTATTTTTAATAGGTTGCACATCATTAAATCTCTATCAAATTCAAACTGCTACTAAAAGAACCTAAAGAACACTAAAATAAGCAGCATCCGTATAAGGTGAATCTTCTCTTCCTTCACAGCATGGACTTTTCAGGGAAAAAGAAGGCATGACTCTAAGATGCTCTCCCAGGCTTCCTTGCTTCCATTCCTCACAAGAACCCACTCTCCCCCGCCTCCTTTTTTTCCTTTCATTCTTTCATCTCAAATGCAAAAGAACCTCTCTAAGCTAGCCCAAGGAATATGCTATAATGAATTTAACTCAACTCATAGCAGAATTATTTCAATTAGTAAGTTTTGTTACTAAAACACATTTCTTAAAGGTATTTTGGATTAGTAAAAAGCTCTATATTACAAAGGGAACTAGCAGGTTTGTTAGATTTACATTTATATAGCTTATATTATAGACTGTGTCGTTGCTTTCTGAGAAATATTTCTGTGTTGTTGCTTTCTGAGGAATACTTCTGTGTTGTTGCTTTTTGAGAAATATTTCTTTCCTTCACAACATGGTAAGCACCTTTAGTAATAAGATTTGAAGTAGCATAGCAGAGATGAAAGAAATTTAAAATATCAGAGGATTAAATAAAAAAGGAACAGAGAAAAAACAGATTCAAAGTGTAATCATATTAAAGAAAAAGGGATCTAACGGGGATGTTCTTCAAGGAAAGGTCAGTTCTCATATATTTTGCTTCTCAATATCATGTTTTACTACCGTATAAACTTAAAGCCACAGATGAGAATGACAGGCTAAGCAATTCTAAAGAAAGCAACAAGTCCCTTCTACCCAGCCAATAGGTGCAGGCAGTTAATAGACAATCCCAGCTGGCTTCTATGAAAAGAAGGCCACAGCAAATTTCAGGGCTGAGGAAGAAACAGGATACAGCACAGTTCCACCATCTGCTGGTCCCAATTTTACTCTGCACACTCATATTCATGGAATTGCTTATTTTGCCATGAGACATAACCATCCATCATCAGCCTCTACTGTCCCCAGTCGGATGCTGGTCAGCAGAATGTCCACCTGTCCCTCTTACCAAGTTGACACATTGAAGCTGAAATGAGGCAGAATTCATGGTCTATCAGGTAAAACAGGCCAGGAAACTCCTCTCTCAAATTCTATCCTCTACAGTTTTAGGAAAGAGGTACAAGAATGAAAAGAATGAGGAAAAGTCCCATTTAGATCCCTGGCGTGCTGCAGTCCACGGGGTTGCAGAGTCGGACATGACTGACTGACTGAACTGAACTGAACTGAAAAGAATGAAAACCCAGGATGACAGGGTGGGTGAGAATGCTACAAATTTTATAAAAGCTTTCATAAAATAAAATGTTCAAAGCTTTCACTGAACAATGAAAGATTTACAAACAAAAACAAAACATTTAAAATATATAAAGAATCTTAAAATTATTCAAAGACAATTTAACTCAAATGTTAATTTTTGTTCCTAAATAGAAATATCCCTAAAACTGTGGTTTTCTTTTCGCCAGATAATTTTTAAGCCTTTCAGCAAAAAGAAAACTCCAGCTTCCTAGGAAAAGAGGGAAGGTAAACAAACCATAAAGGTAAAAACTGGCTGTAAAATGGGATTGTGGAGAGGAAGCTGTGGGGGTGGGGAGGTAAGTGACTCAAAACAGCACACTCTGTCCAGGTTACCAGTGAATAATAACCAAGACTATAATATAGTCAATGTTATTTTAGCTTTTTAAGCCCGGATTAAGTTCTCCTAAGCAGTTTTTACTTTAAAGCCCGGAGATAGGATCCAAAATGTGAACAGATTTAATTCAGACTAAGCAAGCCCCAATCAGAATGTAAGTTCAAGGGATCTCATCACACACAAAAAATCCATTTATTTCCTATCTCATACTGCTTTTACTTCATTTTAGTTTTGCAAAAAACAGTAGTTAGAATTTAGTTGGAATAGATCATTTTTTCCCTCACAGACATCTTTAAAATCTATAAAACTACTTATTGGTGACTGGATAAACTAATTTCATCAATTGTACAACCTATAAACATAATAACTAAGTGACAAACACTGTTTTTACTGTTGTTAGTTAGCTAGGCTAAGTGAGAAAGAGAGACACCAACTATTACAACTGAATCTGATCTTTCTAAACTTAAGTTTGCATTAAACTCTAGAGTTAAAATAGCAAAGCCACTTTTTAAAACTTGAATTTCTTGCAAAACAATACTAGTTTATTCTCATTACCAATTCTGTCTCCACTTTTAATGTCTTTTTCTTGTGTAACTGCAGTGCCTAAGCCCTCCAGCATACTGCTTAATAAGTAAGACAGCACATGCTTCTTACGTTTTACTTCTGATTTTAAGAGAAGGGCTTCTAGGTTTAGAAGCCCTTCTCTTAAAAAAAAAAACCTAGAGCCTGTTATACAAAGTGAAGTAAGTCAGAAAGAAACAAATATTGTGTATTAATGCATATATAGAGAATCTAGAAAAATCGTACTGATGAACCTATTTGGAGGAAAGGAATGGAGACACAGATGTAGGGAACAGACTTGCGGACACAACGGGGGAAGGAGAGGGTGGGATGAATGGAGGAAGTAGCCAATGGCATATATACACTATCGTGTAAAATAGATAGCGGGTGAGCAGTTGCGATGTAACACAGGGAGCCCAGTCTGGCACTCTGATGACCTAGAGGGGTGGGGTGATGGGAGCGGGCAGGCTCAGGAGGGAGGGGATATATGTATAATTATGCTGATTCACACTGTTGTATGACAGAAACCAACACAGTATTGTAAAGCTATTTCCCTTCAATTAAAAAATTAATTTAATAAAAAATTAATTAATGATTAAGAAAAGAGACAAATGCTTCTGAAGTTTTACCATTAAATAAGATTGCTCACTTTAGGTCTTTGGTATATTCCCTTTACCAAATTTAAAGAAATTTCAGATCCCTTTTATTCCAAGTTTACTAAAAGGTCTTCTGTTATTGTTAATTATGAAATATATCAAATGTTTTTAATGTCATCTATTGAAATAATCATGTACTTTTTTATTCCTTTAATCTTCAAGTGTTGAGAATTATACTAATACACACACACTACAAAATTCTATTCTTTTGCATTTCATTTAGGATATTTCCCTCTGTGTTCACTAAGACAGTAATTTCCCTTAAAATTTTTGCTATTAGTCAAAATGAATGCATTAAAGTAAGTTTTTTTTTTCCCCCCAAATAAGTTATTTAATATAGGGAATAATCTATACCATGAAGGCACTGCAAAAGTTTCCTATAGATTTTCTAAGTCTTTGG